CTTATCTACATAAGGCAGCAATAAGGGAACAGGTGGCTAGTTCCAGCCATCAGGACCAAGAATGCAATGTAGAGTGAGGAACAGAGCCACTTGCTCTTCGTCCTTTTCCAGATGGCCAAAGTCAAGGAAGAAGCTTTTGCTTTTACAGAATCGCTTGATGGGAAAGAAGCAGGGTTTGGATTGTTTAAATGACTCTTTAACTCACTCGTGCTCATGTAATTCACAGCGTCTGCAAACTCCCAAGCATTATCTTTTTAAGGCCCTGGGGTTGTCACCAAGACCAATTACCATGCCAGCTCGTATTTACCTTATATTTATGCAAGTCCTTTATTTTGAGAAGATTTTCTTTCAGTATATACAGTGCTTATTCACTTTCCTTTGATACTTTATTTTCATTTTATATCTCAATCACAGTCCCCCCTCTTCTCATCCCCCCTTTAGCTTCCCCTCACCTCACCCCCATTTATTTCTCCCAATGGGTAAGGGCTCCCGTGAGGAGTCAATAAACTCTGGCACATTAAATTGGGGCAGGACCAAGCATGGCATCCCACCATAGGGGATGGGCTTCATCAAATCATCTCACACCAGGGATAGATCCTGGTCCTACTACTCAGGGTTCCTCAGATAGTTTAAGCTTCACCACTGTCTCTCACATGTAGAGGGCCAAGTTCAGCCCCATGGAGGCTCTACAGTTGTCAGTCTAAAGTGTTGTGAGCATTATACAGTAGAAGTACAGCTGACAGATCACTAGGCAAACTCACAGGAGTAGTGAGGAACCTATTTGCAGAGCCTGGGGAACACCTGTCTTCTGAATAGTCACTGTCAATTCTGTAGAAATCTCGTGAAGCCATAGCCTTTCTCCTTTCCAAAGTGGGACTCACCTGAAACATCCCAGCAGTGTAAAGATCCTCCCTTAGACATGACTTTTCCTGTACTGGTGATTGGATGACCTTGCCTCTCACTGTGGGGCACTGGTGTGAAAGCATTCTCTCATTCAAACCTTTGTTCTCATAATTGGTCCACATAAAGCTAGCCCCATCCTTAACTAATCTTCTGGCATCTACAGGGGAGCTTCACAGCCACACCTCCACTGAGAACTGGAGCCTACTCTCTTTGTCAGTCTCTAATCCATCTTGTTAGCCCTAAGAAATGGATGCTTGGTATCATTGTTTTTTTTTCCCCCAGAAAATTGTTAACTATTCCATGTGAATGTTATAAACTGGAAACCATGTGGGACTGGGAGGAACATCAAAGAGAAACATTGAAAGGGAACAGCAATGAACAGCAAGGAACATCACAGGGAACATCAAGGCAGCATTGGACAGACCATGGTAAGAATAAATAAAACTTGATGAAAAGACTTGTGTGGGTTAACTTATTCACACTCAGGCCTTTTTAGTCAGTTTTCACCTGCTACAGTGCTCCTTCTGAATCCTGAGAGGTTTAGGGAGGCTGGCATCCCCCATATAAACCTCAATACTAGAGTGTAGTAGGAGGCCCCACATGTTGGTTCCCGGCCACCCGGCTAGCTTAGACCCAAAATTAATTAAATCACTGCTTGGCCCATTAGCTCTAGCTTCTTATGGTTTAACTCTTACATCTTAATTTGATCCATCTCTATTAATCACCATGAGGTCATGGCCTACCAGCAATGTTTCAACATGTCTATCTTCGGCGCTAGTTCCATGGCATCTCCCTGACTCTGCCTTCTTCCTCACAGCATTCTGTTTAGTTTTCCCTGCCTAGCTCTGTTCTGCCTTGCTATAGGTCCAAAGTAGTTTCTTTATTCATTAACCAATAAAAGCAACACCTAGACAGAAGGACCTCCCACACCACTAGAGTTTATGAGTTTCCCTGAGCTTGGTTCAGCTGTCTCTGTTGATCTCTCCACCATGATCTTCATCTCCCTTGCTTGGATGGATTTCCAGAGCTTGGTCTGGTGCTCTGTTGTGAATTTTTACCTTGATTTTTGAGATACTTCAGCTTACCCTAGCCTCTAGCTTTTTGTTTTCTTGTATCCATTTTGTTTTTAATGGATGGATGCTTAAACATATTTGTGGAGTACACAATAAGGTTTTAATACATTTTTACATTGTATAATAATCAAATAAGTGCCACCTTCTTCATTGATTTTTTTTGTGGGAAAAACATTTAAAAATCTTCTAACTAAAAATATATAATATAATATAGTTAACTTGTTTCTTGTTGTTATTACTATTATTATTTTCAATTTTTAAATTTTATTTTAAATTAAATAAATAGTATTATTTTTAATACAAACGTAAGGCGTAGAACTCTGTTATAGATCATGGGCAGTGCATGTGCTGTGGCATGAACGAGGTTGGGGTTAAATCCCAGAGCCACTAAATAAAATAATCTGTATAAGATTTTGATTTTTCTGTCCCATGGAGGAAGGACTCTGGACAAAAAATGGCTCTCAGCTAAGAAGCCTGACCTCTGTTATAACCAGGAGACTCTAAACTCAGAGATCCATGTCTCAGGCCTCTCAGCAACAGCCAGGAACCAAGGAGCTTGAGGTGCAAATGGGACTATTTTACTAAATGTAAGAAACACACACACACGCACATACACACACAAATGTGTGCGTGTATGCTTGGTTGGGAGGCTTCCATCTAATGCTACAGATGTTATTGCTTTTTGTCTCCGTATGGTAAAAAGACAAAGGACGGCTCTTGTGTTCTCCCAGAGCTGTTGCTTAGAGAAGGACTTGGCATTTATTTAATAAAAGATGTGACTAAATTGTGTCCCTTATGGTTATTTCAATGCTTGAAACCTTATAACCCAAATAGGCTCTGGCTCTAACAGAATAAACAAAAAACAAGAAAAAAAAATGAGAAAAACAACACCTGGGCCCATCTGTACTGTGCAAAGCTTTTCTGGTCCCAGGATAACTCTCCATGTAGACAAGCTTTGCCTTTCTCGGTCTGGGGTCATCCTTTCTGAACAGGAATAGTAATTCTGCGCTGTCCACGCATAGAGTGCCAGGGAATGACCAAGTCTCTCCCGTCTACATTAGAAGGAAGAACTCTGTCTTGCACACAAAGCTTTCTCTCTCCTGTAAATTTCGTGCGGTGGTAGAATTGCATTTGCTTTCGGCCAGATGCATCTTCTCCACACCTGGCAGGGATCTAGAACTGAAATTACAAGATTTATTTCATCTTAATTCTATTATGAGGCATTTAAGTCACAAATACCCTCAAAATGAAACGATCATTTATCATCTTGCCCTGACTGAGCACCTCTCCTCTGCTGACATTCATGAATCCGTAATGCCGAGAGGAGGCTGGATGATTAAGTGTCCGATTAGAGAAAACAGATTAACCTGGCAAACGTCATAAATTTAACTCATAAGCAGGATGGCTTTATAATGCGCACGCTAACTCTCCTGTCTAAAATCTTACACCGCCTCCTTCTGTAATGGCTCAATTGGAACGGCTAAGAAAGAGATCCCAAAGGGCATTTCTGATTCAGTTCATAACTAAAATGGAGCCTAGGAAGAAAAACACTAACTCACAAAGCACACACCTACTGCCTCTCACAGACTCTCATTTTCCCCGTCACCACTTGAAGGTCTCAGATGCCTCTTTAAGGATGAGTTTCTATGCACTCTGTTTAGAAGGTGTCACAGCTAACCCTGAGCAGCAAGTCCAGGAGACTGACCCACAGCCGTCTAAACAGAACCTGATCCCTTAATGACCGAGCAGCTGACTACTAGATAGTTCTCCCATGTGACCAACATGGAGGCCAGCAGCTAATAAGCTCTGCATGTTTGGGGGTGTCTTTGGGTTGAAGTTCCGTGTATACCAGTGCACAAATCTCGGCTATGCCTTGTTTTAAGCAAAGTCCTGTGCAGCTGTCAGAAAAGCTCAGAGAGCAGTCTGCCCCTCCCCTCTTGGCTGGAGTTTCCCTGCAGTCTTTTAAGCCTGCACGGGGGAGGGGAGGGAGATCCTTGTCATCCACAGGTATATTTTTAGCCTCAATGGCTGTTTTTCTGAAGTCTGGGCCTGCCTGCTCTGCCTGGCCTAGAAAGGCAGAAGTCAAGCTGAGTAAGGGACCTCTTCTGTTGAGATCAGGACATCTTCAGGGCAGAGGAAGATGCCTCTTGTCTTTAATGAAGGCCAGCCCCATCCCATCCCAAGCCAGGTAATTTCCCACTTGGGAAAGCAGTACCCAAGGTCTAGGGGATAGAAGACCCCCTTTCCCCCTTTCTCCTTCTCTTCTCACAATGAAGTTGCTTTTGGCATGTGGGTAGGGTCATGGCTAGCCTGTCCTTGCTGGCCTCTGGTCTCAAGGTCAGTTCAAGTAAGACTGCTTTGGGTGCATGCATGCAGGTGTGTCACGGATATTCCTACAGTAACACATCTCCCACTCTTTGTTGGGTCACAGATCAAGACATTTCTTAAGGATGCAGGTAGAGAAGACAAACCTTTGGCCCAAAAGGAATCCTCGTCCAGCTCTGTCCCTGTATCCCTTATATCCATAATGACTAGACCCAAACATTTCATATCACCCTTAAAACTGTAACACCCAGCAAGGCCAGAGCTTGATAGCACAAAAGTTTGTCACAGGAAGGTCCTGGTTGCTGAGAGGCTGAAACCAAGCAGGCACCAGGCTGGGTCTGAGCTGTGAGCAGGTTTGTGTGCCTGCTCCAGCTGGCCCACCGTGTTTGGCAGGCGGGCATCGAGGTAGGAGCAGGTGGGGGTGAGGGGACGACTAGCAGATGGGATGGCAGCCCAAAGCCCAGTGTATGCCGAGGATTTTGAGAGTCCGGGCCTGCGGTATACACGGAGGATCTGGGGATTTCTGGCCTGCGGTGTGCACGGAAAATTCGGGGATCTCAGACTTGTGTCCTGTGCAGGGATTCTTGGAAGGGCTCAGGAGTGGGGCGAGCGCCGAAGACCTGGCTCTGGGAGCCTAGGACCGGCGGTGCAATGCTGGAGCCGAGCAGGCGCGCGCCAGGAACCCGCGGAGGGAGCAGGGGTTGGTGCGGACGCTGGCGTTGACGCTGCGGGAGGGCGACTGTGGCCTAGGCGGTGGCCTTGGCCTCAGGGTGGTGCGGATGAAGTCGACCAGGGGCTGCTAGTGGCTCCGCAGCGAGGCCTGGGAGAGCCCGGAAAGCCCGCCGCTGCCTCCAGGGCCACAGCACAAGCCAGCTTGAGCAGGGAGGTGCGTTGGGGGAGGGGAGGGAGGCGCTCTCGGCGCTAAGCAACCTTGTTTAGACCCTGGATCCGTAGGAAAGTTCAGAGGGGAGAGAGCACCTGACGTCGGGCATCCAGTCTCCGCTTTTTATAAACGGGGTGCAGGGGGATAAAAGAGACCTGCTTCCAAGTCGGGAAAACTGTTGAGAGGCAGAACAGAAATTGAAAACTCAAACCGCTCGGCAGGACCGATTTCTCAGCTCTCTTCTCACCTCGGTAGTGACGACAAATAGGTCACAGTATTGTCTTAGGTCTTGGAACTGTCGGTGATATTATTCTTTGGCATTTAGTAGTATGTGGTTCTGGGAAAACGTGAACAGGTCTCGAGTTCTCGGTTCCTTTTTTTTCATTTAACATTTACTAGGCGGGTATTTGTGCCGGGCACTGTTCTAGAAACTGAACCTCTAGAGATAAACAAGAATCAGCCCTCAGTATAGGAAAGCAGAGAAGGTCCCCAGACACCAGTTACAAAGGCAGGTTCAGGAAGGGGATGGGTGAGGGGAAAATGGAGCGTACCAGGGAAATTCAGGAGGTGCCATTATGGCACGCTGAGAGATGATGGGGGCGGGGGGAGGCGTCAGAAGATGGCATCCTGACTGGATCTAGTTAAAGGGAAGAGGCCAAGATTACTATGGAAGCAGCACTAGGGAGCCTAGGAAGATTCAAAGGCCAGTATGGCTGTGCTATGCCTGAAGAATGGTTTGGGATGAATCTGTCTCCAAATGAAACCTGTCAGGTGCAGGTTAAATGCTGGTTTAAGGATCCATGCTGCCCCAAGGTCTGAGTGTAAGGCATTCTAGACGCACCTCTTCCCAGAAGCCTCCCAGTGTGGCACTGCTGTGGATGGAACCGGGAAACTATCCTAATCGAACTGGGAAACTCTTGGAGACTGGGAAGCCAGTGGAAAGGTAGTGATGGCCTTTCCCACTTCGGTAACATTCTTGGAGGTAGACAGTAAAAAGTTCTCTTGGGGATCCATCCTACAACACAGGCGGCCTTGCAGACATCTGAGCAGGCACTTGTGAAATGTCTCTGCACAGGGCACTTTTTTTTTTATGTGTCCCCAGGTATATCTGACATTGTGCACTAAACAGAGCAGCCCGTTTTCGTAATTGAAAACTAAATCCCTTGTCCAAGATTGAGTGCCTGTGTTCAAGTCAGTCTTCATTATACACCCCATGGTTCTGTTCAAGGGAGCTGTTGAGTAAATCCTCATAGTCCCTTGCCTAAGGTCTGATCCTGGAAACCACAGAGATGGTTAGCATCACAGGGAAAGGCTTCCAGGGCAGAAGAGACAAAGGGACTCCCAGCAAGGCTCCCTTGGTTCATATGTCTTTGTGCTTTTGAACCTTCTCCCTGCAATGAACCTCTGAGAGGTAGGAAAGTTGCAGTGATTTTTTTTAGCAACATTTCCTCTGATTAATTATTAATTATATTCGATGGTGTAAAAGAGCATGAAATTGGCATAGGAAAATAGACTTGAAATTGAATTTTAGAGTTGTCACACCCTGCCTGCGTGACTTCAGGCCTGGCATGAACTCAGCTGGTCTCTCGAACACAGTCACCATCCCAGTCCTTCGGCAGCCATCTTACAGCCCCACCGCTTTCCCTCGCGGCATTTCCTTAAACCTCAAGAACCACCATTTATCCCCTAAGTTTTTAACGTCATTTCGAGAACATTATGGAGTGGACACAAAGAATGCAAACTTCTGATATTGTTTTGTATTTTTAATTTTTATTTTTTTCCACTCGGCGTAAGTCTCTGGAGGTTAATTCAGGTTTTGTTGACAAGTATTAGTTGTACATATTAAAAGTATTATATTTCTATATATGTGTAGAGTATACACCAGTTCAGTTCAGCCACTTCCTCCGGTACCAGTGAGTTCTGATCATTACTCTGCTTTCAAATAGACTTTTCAAGCATCAGCATGAAAAAGAATATGCAGAACTTGCCTTTTTTATGTCCGGCTTATTTCATTTATTTTTTTTTTCTTGGACTGTGTTTTTGAAATCCCTTATATATCCTGGATGACAATCTTTCCTTGCCAAACATATAATTTACAGATATCCACTCCATGCTGGCTGTCTTTCCATGCCGTTGCATGCTTAACTTAGTGTTTGGAAAAGTTTAGTTCTGTGTAATCTCACTTGTCTATTTTTGTTGTTTCCTATGCTTCAGGCAGTCCCATCCAGAACATCATTAGCCATGTTTACATCTTGAATTACCTCCTGTGTTTTCTTCTATGACTTCTAGAGTTTCTGGTCTGCTATTAGGTCTTCGACCTACTTTGAGTTGATTTTTAGATAAACCTCTTGTACATGAATGGGAGATTTAGGGATGCTCTCAGCAATTATTTCATTGGACAGATTTTCAGTGCCTTTACTTTTAATCTTTTCTGGTATTCCATCTGATATATAGATGATACAGATAGACAGAGACAGATATAGATACAGATACAGATAGATAGCCTTCAAATTCACATACTATTTCTTCCCCCATGTCTAGTCAGTTGTTGAGGCTTTCAAGGGTTATATATTTTATTTTATTCATTGGCTTCCTCCTTTCCAATGTTTCTGTCTGGTTCTCCCTGCAGAATTCTCATTTCTATCCTAAGTTGTCTGCCTAATTTCATTTAGCTGTTAATCTGTGTTGTTCAGGATCTCATTCTGATTATCTTATAATCATTCTTTGAGATTCCATCCACTTTAATTTCTTAGGAATCTGTTGCTAGAGAATTACCACATTCTTTAGGAGATATCGTATTACCCCCTTTTCATATTTTTGTGCTCCTACATTGAGATTTGTACGTTTGCTGGGTCCGATGCCTCTACCACCTTTCAGGGGTGACTTTGGTTAGTGGATTTCTTCTGAAGTTGTGTCTTGGAATGTCGGTTTGTTCTGCAGTGTTGACTTTGATTAGAGTATTGTGATGTAGTTTCCCGATAACTTCCAAGACTACGGCTTATGAGTTTAGGCATGATACAGAGTGCAGCAGTCTTAGACCCATTCTCCCTATGTGCCGTGAGGGCGGAGATACTTTGGCAGTTCCGAGGGGTGTAGCATCGATAGTCTGTGTAGATCTACTTCTACTATTTCCTTGGTGGCCCCCTCAGGTGTTGATGCTTCCATTCAACTATTGGTCTTCTGCCACTGGCAAGGAGCCAGGATTCTTACAGTGGGGCCCACTGGACTTCTATTGGGGCGTTCCTGCCCAGTCCTAATAGCATTAAAGTCAGAATTGACCAGATGGCAGCCAGACAGAAGTGAGGCAGTAGTAAGAACTCCAGTGTTTCTCTCTACTGCTTCAATGACTTTCCCTGCCAATGACTGAGACCAGGGGCAGAGTTGAGCCACATTTCTCTCGGGAGGTTCTATTTGACTGTGTATGACTGAGGCAGGAAGGACCTGGACCCATGAGATTTCCCAGGACCTTCCCATCATGCCGTTGTATGCTTGAGAATCATGGGGATTCACTCCGCACATTATTCATAAGAGGTGCATGAATACAAGTCTTGGGGAAAGGGCCTTAGGTACTGTGTGACATCTCCCCTCAATCCTGACACTGGCCCTCGTCCATACATGGCTAACTATATCCTCAGAGAACAAATATGCTGGTCTCCGGGTGTTCAGAGGCAGCACCTTCCAACTCCTCTGGTTATGGCTCCCAACCTGTGCAGAGCAGGATAGGCATCCAGCAGGTTTAGTCACAGTTCCCCTGCTATGCTATGTTGGGTTCTGCCAAGTCAGTGCTGGAGAGTGGTTGTGTAATACAGGAGAAGAAAGTATGCAGGAATGTTTTGATACCTGAAAACATCAGCTCACTTTTCAAGATAGGTGGTGGCTACCCTACCCTGGGCCTTCCCTAGGGCCATGTAAGATCCATTTCAAAAGCCAGGCTTCTGTGCAGCACTTGGGTTACTAATCTAAATGGGCTGCAAACTGATCATTTGGTAGCTAGGATTATCAGCCTACACATGGATGGAACCTCCTAGAACACTTTTACATCACTTCTCCAAAAGGAAAACTTCCTTACCCATACTGTGGAGCTAATGTGGCAGATGCTGGGGTATTTTGTTTCTCTCTCTTGTTTTTTTTTTTTTTTGGCTTTTTGGGGGTGTACCACCCAGTTCCCAAATAAATCACTTACACGGAGACTTATTCTTAGTTATGAATGCCTGACTTTAGCTTGGCTTGTTTCTTGTCAGATTTTCTTAAATTATTCCAACCACCTTTTGTCTCTGGGCTTTTATCTTTCTCTGTTTCTATATACCTTTCTTTACTTTTATTTCCATGGTTTGCTGCATAGGCCTCGGGTTCCTCCTCTCCTTGTTCTCTTACTCCTCTTCTCCCTTGTTTTTCTCCCCCTATCTGTCCTCTCTGCCTGCCAACCCTGACTAGCCTCACACTTGATGTGCTATTGGCCATGCAGCCCTTTATTAGAACATCGGGTGTTTTTGGACAGGTAAAGAATCACAGCCTCACAGAGTTAAACAAAAACAGTGTAAACAAAAGCAACACACCTTCAAATGATATTCCCCATCATCTTACTATGGCCCCACGTGTCTGAATTGTACTAGGCTGCAGCCTCTGTCCTGAGGATTCCCAGTACTCTCTGATAGCCGTTGGCCTCTCGGTGCAGCTCTGCATGGGTTGCTCAGGTTGCTCTTTGTAGAAGGGGGCGGGGGGGTGAATACTGGGCATTTCCTCTGATTTTTTTATAAGACACTGTTGCTTTTAAAAATACTTATTAATTTACTTTTTAAATTTATGCATCTGTGTGTGTACCTGTGTGACATTATAGGCCTGTGACGATGCCCTGGGACTGGAGTCACAGTGAGCTGCCTGATGCATGTTCTGGGAACCAAACCCAGGTCTTTTCTAGAGCATCAAGTGCTCTTAACCACAGCCATTTTTCCAGCCCCATGTAGTAAGCGTTTCTATTCAGCCATCTTTGGAGATGTTGGTTGCCATTCACCCATTGAAGGTCAGCGGAGCTGTTTGAAGCTATTAGGAATAAAGCCACTGTAAATATTTGCATACTAGTTTTTGTTCAACATAAGTCTTCTTTGACTTCGTCCCTTGAGGTAGATGCTTAAAGATAAAATTGCTGGGTCATATCTTGGTAACAAGGTAAAAACGTAAGGACACGGGCAATCTGTTTCCAGCGTGGCTGGATCATTTTGTCTTCCCCCTGGCAATGAACCACTGAGCCAGTGGCTCCACATCTTTTTCAGAGTTCGACATTACCTCTCTCTTCCATTTGAGCTGTGCTGGGGGACATGGAGTAACACTCCATTGTAGCTGTAATGTATATTTCTCTAATCGCTAGTGATGAATATGGCTTGTTTAAAATCTCTTTAATTTCTGAAATATGAAAGGTGCCTTCTTGAACTGTTTGCCTTTCCACTGTTGAATTTTGAGAAATTTGTTTGTTCATTTATTACTCTTAATTATGTGTGTGAAGAGGTGGGGATGGGTTTATGCCCATGAGTGCACTGTCCACAGAGGCCAGAAGAGGGCATCAGATAACCTGGAACTGGGGTTACAGGCGGTTCTGAATCATCTGATGAGGATATTAGGAACTGAACTCAGGCTTCTCCAAGCAGCCCTTTCTCTGAAACCACTGAGCCACCTCTCCAGCTGCTTCCTGGGAGGTCTACATGTGTTCTTGATGCTGTCTTCACTTTTGCACTGTGAATATTTTTAATTTTGAGGATAAACAGTTTATTGAGTTTTCCTTCTATGGATCATACTTTTGACAGTAAATATAAGTACTCTACTAGCTTTTAACACCAAGGCTTTTTTTCCATGTATGTGTGTGTGAGAGAGAGAGAGAGAGAGAGAGAGAGAGAGAGAGAGAGACAGAGAGAGACAGAGACAGAGACAGAGACAGAGAGAGAGAGAGAGAGAGAGAGAGAGAGAGAGAGATCTAAGCTGAAGTCTATTGGTGGTGGTGGGCTAGTTTCCACTGAAGATAACTCAATTACCCCAGCACCAATTGCTGAAAATCTGTTGTGAGACAACAGATAATTCTCATCGGTTGAAACTTTTTGCTGAGTTCACTTGTCTTTATTTGAAGAAACAACGGCTTTGAACCTGGACCTGCGAGCTGTTATTTCAGCTACACTGAAGTTCTGTGATCCCAGAAGGCACATTTAGGAAAACGGTTCCGCCTCGCACCCACTTGCTAGGATATGTCAGAGGTCAGTGTAAGAACTCGCAAGCCCCTCACATGTGAGGGTTCTTCTCTCGGCTTCTGGAGGTTTATTTCCATGGTTTGCTTGTTGGTCTGCCATCTGTTTTTATTAATTATTATAAGCTTTGTGTAGTAATCTGCTTGCACTTTATAAGTCAGGTTTCAGACCATATGTCAGAGAATGAAGAACATTAGATATTAAAGCTCTACCATGAAGACACCCATTCCATAAAGTCATACAACATGTCTCAGAGACAGAACAGGGACCAAGTCACATACAAAACATGGTCCAGTATAAAGCAGACAACAGTATGTCTTGCCTACCTGCGTAGTTTCTGCTGGTTTTCTCAACCATTCACAAAGGATGCTTTCCACAGTTTTTTTTTTTTTTTTTGAGATAAATAAGTCATTCTACTTGTTATGTTTATCTTTGTTGTGGTGGGGCAGTTGTGGTGTTGCTGTTTGGTTTTTCAAGACAGGGTTTCTCTGTGTAGTCCCGGCTGTCCTGGAACTTACTCTGTGGACCAGGCTAACTCAGAGATCCATATGCCTGCCTTCTAAATGAGGCAACGGAGGCTCTGCCTGAGTGACCTGCATAGTAGCAGAACCTGCATGTGGCAAGTAGAATTCAGAGAGTTTTATCAAAAAGTTGGTGTTGAAAAGACAGCCTTTTATCTGTGAAATGGGCTAATAGCATAATAAACTCAAATAGAAATGAAGGTTTTTCAGTTCAATAGGGTTAATTGAGATAACGTTTTGTAAAGCTTGTTACATTTCCAAGTATCCACCGTTCAAATGGGGGATATTTAATTATTAATGGTAGTTATTAATAGAAACTTGGCTAGAATAGGCTTCGGTTTCCGCAGCTGTTGGGGGCTTGCTGATTTGTACTCATGGAAAATATATTTGTTTATATCCTAGTCTAGTATCTGTTTTTCCTAGTAGTGACCAAATTATGAACTTCCAAATTAAATAAGGTGCAAAAAAAATTGAGAGGATGGCTAGACTTATTGCTTCATATGATTGCTCTAGTAGTTATTTCTCAACGAAGGACTATTACAGGACTATTACATGTAGCTGTGTTTCTGTGACAATGCGGTGAGTGAAGACGTCAACAGACAGCACGCACATACTCAGGGAAACACCCTCCAAATGTTAACTCTTGCTGGAAAAAACATCAGACTTCTAGAGAGCCAAGAAAGACAGACAGAAAGGAAGGCGGAGAGAGAGAGAAAGAGAGAGGAAGGAAGGAAGGAAGGAAGGAAGGAAGGAAGGAAGAGTGTATTCCCAAGTCCTTAGTCTATGCTATTACAATCGTAATTTAGGTGAGTTTTGAGTTCCTAGCACTTGCATTTCTTTGGTGGGGAGCCTGCAGAGCTGCACAGGGGGATACGGTGAGGAGCATCGTTGTCAAGTAGAGGCTATGCACGCGTACGACATGTATTCTTCCTTTGATTGTGGATACATACACAGCTTCCTCTTGCTGGCTCATCCTATTTCTGTGAGTGCACAGAAACTGTAACCTCTACAGAAGCCGGCTGTCAGAACCCTATGTGCCTTCTAACGGGTATCAATTTAGAAGGAGAAAGTGCTACCACCTTGGACGTTCCAGGCCGTGTTCATCAATGCAGTGAGCTTCTCCACTTCCCAAACTGTGGCAGGCCACCTTGCACTGTTTCTGGAATCACAAGTGAAGCAGGAAGGGATGGGGTGGGGCGGGTTGTCATGGTTACTGTGACAAAAAGATGTCGCGGGTGGAAGCGAGAGTCTTAAACACGCTACCCTACAGAGCACATTCTGAACTTGGAAGAAGTGTTCCAGAGCCTGCACTGCACCTGAATGTCTGGCTTGGCATCCATCTGGCTTGTAACTTGTCCCCTGCTTAAAATAAAATGGCAGAGTGAGTTTTGCGGTACAAGAGAGCTCTTACATATTTTAATGTTCACAGTGCTCAGCATCCACCCACACCCCTGCTTCTTAGTTGTATTGTGCAGCATGTAGTCCCCCGAAAGAATTCTAATCTTAGACTCTTGACCTCTGACTTCTTTACACAAAGAAAGCAAGAGCAGACTGATACTTTCTAGTATTTTTAGTACATCTACATATAAAACAAACATACATTTGCTTTCTCTTTATTGCTCCTTTCTGCTCCAAAGAAGACATGCTTCCATACTTAATACTACTGAAATTTAATGTAGAGGGAAGTTCTACAAACCATGAATTCTAGATTTAAAGAATGGTCATGGTAAGGAAGCATTGTTGTGGAGAATCACGTAAGAGCTAATTTGTGTTTGCATGCTACTACATACAGAATCATCCAAAGAAAACACACTATGAGTCTGAGTCATTCCCCGGGGAGGTCATCTCAGGAATTTCTGTCTTTCTGCTAAAGTGGAAGGCTTCCTTGGACTTTCTCTCTGTGAGTTGTACCAGCAAGATCATCTCTGTGCCTGTCTTTGCAGATGGAGTTTAGTGACTGCTTCAGTCTGGCCCGTCCTCACCACCCTCGCCCAGGAGACTTGATTGAAGTGTTCCGCCCTGGCTATCAGCACTGGGCACTGTACTTGGGTGATGGTTATGTTATCAACATTGCACCGATTGGTAAGATTTGTTCCCAGGGGCCTCTGGGAGCTCTGTGGTTGTTTTGAAATGAAAAGGGATCATGAACAAAATCATAAAGCAGTTAAAATATAGAGACAAAATCCAATGAATTTAGAAAATGATATTCAAAGACCAAGACATCATTTAAAAGATCCCACCAACATAGCCAGGCAGTGGTGGCGCATGCCTTTAACACCAGCACTCAGAAGGCAGAGGCAAGTGGATTTCTGTGAGTTTGAGGGCCAGGACAGGCTCCAAAGCTACACAGAGAAATCCTGTCTCAAAAAAAAAAAAAAAAAAAAAAGTGCCACACACTAAACCACACAAAATTAAAAGAAACCTCTATATTAAAAAAAAATCTTACTTACAAATAAATGACAAGGATGATATTGGCTGCAAATGTAGCTAAGTTCTATGTCCTATGTCTCACACAAGTGCGTGGTTTCAATTAACTTGGCAGCTATTAATAGGTTGTATAGTATGTGCCGAATGCTAGTGTAGGCACCCGAACTACACAGCTGTAAAGACAGCTCCACGGCGGTGCTCACATTTTCACAGACAGAGGGGGAGAGCAAGAGCAAATTATAGATGTGTTAGGAAGGATGTGGAAAAATAAGTGAAGAAGGTGGTTTATGAAGCACTGAACATGGGGAGATGGGAGGCACGAAGGGGGTGTGTGTGCTGCAATTAGGAAACTTCTGCAAGAAAGCAGCCAGGGAAGTGAAGCTTCAAAGAGATGAGAAAAGTAGTTCCCAGCATACCTGGGAAATTGGTGCCTCTGAGGAGAGACAGCGAACACCATGATCCCAAGCCACAGTTAGGAAAGTTTGGAAACACTTGACAAAAGTAGAGAACAGAAATTTCAACTTTGTATTCACCTGCAGATTAGAGACAGAGACACTGACCAATTTGGGGCTCATCTCGTTATGAAGGGATAAAATGACAGCACCCAGTGGAGACAGAGACAGTGAAATTAGTACAAGTGTATGGATGGAAACAGAGAGCGTTCCATCCACAAGACAGCTGAGCAGTATGCGTTAAGAGTCTTAGAAAATTTCTTAAGCTCTGTATCTAATTTTGCTTACGGGAGTCTGGGGAAACATTTAGACCTGTGGACAAATTTCATTTCTAATGGTTTAAAAACGAGACAATAGCTTAATTTTCCGTGGGGGGGGGGGGCTGGCTAAGCACATTAGGAGTTAGCCACTGGGTATTAGGTAACTCTGTTTGTTAGAATTCTCTAGTGTATGTAACAGAAATAAGGCTATCACTAGCCTAAGCAAACAAGCAAAGAGACAAGTCCAAGGCTTCCTGGGAGGAGACGTCAGAAAGGGTGGAGCTGGCCTTAGAAGTTTCCAGGAATCTAGGTGTGTCTAGGACTGTCGTTACTTTAGGACCTTCAGATTCGGAAGTCGCTTCCCTTTCCTGGGTGGTGGCGTCATTCCCCTAACTTTGTCACAAAACGAGACTCGTGTTCTTAGATTTTCTGACTCAACAGGAAAGAGCTAATCTGTTCTCCATTTGTTGGAGTTTAGAAATCATGGAGAATGACTCTTAATTGGTCCATTGTGAGCCGCAATGCCATTTCTGGAGAATACGATGTAATACAGTGATTGGCTCTGATAGTCATCTGGGGGAAGAAACAGGCAATGGTGGACTGGGTACTAAAGTCACTATAATAGCCATTTTAAAAGCACATTTTTGGACTTGTTTAACTACTTAAAAAATAGTCTTAATATAGAATTTAAAAATTTCTAGTTCAAATACAATATGTGATATCATACCCCACTTAAAAAGAATACTATGTACATCCGTGTAGACATCTGTTCCCTTCCATGGCAAACGTCTACCGGATTAACTGATGCCTGCTGCTTTGTCGGGAAGGCCAGTCGTCCCAAGAATATGATGGCCATGCCCAGCAAGTAGGCACATGTAGGGAGAGACCAGGTCCTGGCAGTAGACCAAGCCGTGAAGAGTCATCTTAGTCTCTGTTACCGACAGGACAGGACTGGATACAAAGCTTCCTGGGCATGTAGGGAATGCCCTCCAATAGAGATATCTCTGATAAATAGAAGAGTCAGGGAGGATTGTGCAGGCAGTGAAGACATAGCAGGGGGCCCCATCTATGTGCAGTGTCTACTGAAGTTAGCTTTGGGTTTAGAACGTTAGTTTGCTGGTCAGACGAAATGACAGAAGAAAAATGGGAATTTAGCTGCTTCCTCACAGAGCTGCAAGTGTTACAGCAGGAAAATTGGACTTTCATGAAAGCCCAGGGAAGAGCCGGTGTATAAAGAAGTGGGGTGTGCAGGGAGGTGGTTTTGTGAACGTAGCATCATAATCAACCCCTGAGATCTGGGAGACTTCAGATGCTGAGAAGAAACAGGCACCATAGACAAATTGGGCAATAATCTTATCCATACCCTGCTAGAACTGTCTGCAAAGCTCTGTCATAATAATACCAGTCATTAGGGAATGTACTCCCCAAGACCAGGCAGGGAGTTTTCTGCCATTTCTTTCCTTGCTCATACAGCACTGTAATCAAATAACACAGAGCGTGCAGCTGAGGTCAGGCACTTTGGGTTCATTGTGTGAGGAGCAGGGGTCAGTCTAAGTTCCACAGCGTCTCCCGCGTGCTAGACGACACTGGTGGTACTCTGTGGACTGGATAGATCCCTTAGCCCCACTGACCAACATTTTCCCTACAGATGGCATTCCTTCAGCCTTTACAAGCGCCAAGTCCGTGTTCAGCACCAAGGCCTTAGTGAAAATGCAGCTTCTGAAGGACGTTGTGGGAAACGACACCTACAGAATAAATAACAAGTACGATACAACTCATCAACCTCTCCCCGTGGAGGAAGTGATGCAGCGCTCCGAGTTTGCCATTGGGCAGGAGGTGGCCTATGACTTACTGGTCAACAACTGTGAGCATTTTGTGACCTTGCTCCGCTATGGAGAAGGAGTGTCAGAACAGGTGAGGTTGTTTTCTTTTTACGGTGGTATGAGAAGCTTTCCGTGTTGAGAAAATCCTGCTAGGATAAAGTGTTTAGCCTTCCACAAAAAGGCAAACAAGAAGTAAATGTGGGAAGTGGGAAGACTGAAGGGAAGAGGATTCTGTTAAGAATACAGTAGGTTAGTGAACAGACTAAAACCTGGACATCTTGAAATTTGGGCTGGGAGGCACTTGAAGTAGAATCAAGTCCCTAGCTTCCTGTCAAGCTTATTGACTCCTCTTAAACACGGTTTTCTCTATTACTCCCCATACAGCAATCTCAAATCAACAGCCCCACGTATTGAAAATAATGTAACCAAAAGGAAGGTGAATGGGGGTTAATTTGTCAATTCTTGTCCAGTAAGGAATAGCGGTGAAAAATGATATGTCTTGATGGGTTGGTAAACGTCTCTTATTTCCTTGCGATACTTGTTTTCAGTGGCATGCTATGATTTGACGTACATATCTGAGTCCCTGTGCTTCTAAACAACTTCTACTATATTAACTGACCCCAGAGTAACGTGCGGTCCTGTGGGTTTCCAGCACTGGTTTGCAGTATTGTAGCAGAGTCCCGGCAAAGAGAGCGTTCACCTCTCTCGCCTTTACCAGGCCTGTCCTCGGGTCAGAGCAGTTCTGTCTCTAAGGGTGTGACCCAAGTATTATTAGGGTGACGTAAGAGAAAAGGGGAGGCACTCTTTGTCCAAAACCCATACAAGTGTGTTTTGCTTTAAACTTTAAAGAAGACCCAAAGACTATTAACCTCCAGTAAGTTGCTTCTTAAAACGGAGACTAAGAGTCAAAGTACAATACCAAAACTTGAGCACGTTTTAATATCCTCAGCTTACTCAAGGCTTCCTGTGTCTTGGACTAGCTATTAAATGACGTCCTAGAGAGTGAGGTTCAATTCCTCTCAGAACTAAGTTCAGAAAAGTAGGAGACAGAGCATGATGAAGGGTGTGAGTGTTTTCTTTAGGGAAAAACTCATTGGCTGCGTGTTCCCATCAGGAAGTACATTAACAATGAATGCTCATTCAGAGATATATAGATATATATATAGATATATATGGCACAACACAGAGGCCACACCTAAATTCCTCTATGTCTTTGAGTTGCGAACACTCGTGCTGTTGTTAAGAAACAGATTCCATCTGTTTAATTGGCAATTATCTAGCTAAGTGGAATTATTTACCCTAATAAAGCATGTGTTATGCTTTGGATATATAGTGTCCCATGGAAAACTTGTGTGGCATATTCTTTAAGCTGGTGGCTGTTGGTAAGAGACAGTACCGGACTAAGGGGTCTTTGGTAATGATTAAGTTGTTCACTACATTAACAAATAATATTTATTTATTTGTGTAATTTCTACAAATAGGGAGGGGTAGCGGTCAAAGAACACAAATTTCTGTTATATATATATATAAAAAATCAGTTCCAAGATCTACTCTGTAACATAGTCTCTATGATTGACAAGCCTATGCTTTTATTATAAATTTATTTTTTATTTTTATTTGTGCCAAGAAGGTAGTTCTTAGGGTTAAATACTCTTGCAGCAACAACAAAGTCAAAAAAAAAAAAAAGATAAGTCCACCAAGCAACCAACTAAAATTCCAAACCAAAAGAACAGAATCATTGAAGACAGCTATAAGAAGCCTGTGGAGATAATAGATAACTGTGTAGCACTGATTATGATGACATTTTCAGATGCAATCTTACCTCCAAAAATACCAACCTGTACATATTAAATAAATGTTTATAGCACTTCGCCTGTAAATAATGCTTCAGTGATGTGAAAATGTGGTTGAATAAGAACAGATTACAATCATCTTGCTTTGCATTTGGTCTGAAATTTGCCCTCTGTTTACTTTTTATACCAAGACTCAAAACCCATGGGGCAATCATTTCCTTAACGAATAGTGGAAGCTGTCTCTAGCAGGTACTGGTTGAAATGGAGTTAGGGTATCCTGAGTGCCCCCACTCTGCTGGAAAGAGCTAGTGTCCTAACTGTAGTCACAGGCTTGATGACTTCGAGCACACTGTACTTGCTTTTTACTGCACCCTCGAGTTACTTTCCTTTTAAGGATTATAGAGGTATGTGAAGCCGCTTGCTTAGCTGTATTACAAATCATTTGTCTAGTACATGTGTGCTATGCTTTGGATTTATAGCATGTCGCCAACGGCTCGTGTGGCATGTTTCACAACCCTTTGTGTTGAGAAACAATCAGATCAATGTCTACTGTCTAATCAATGGATTCCTATGGCATTATTAGGAGGTGGTGGAAAGTAGGTGGGGCCTCGTTGGAAGAAGCATGTGGAGGGTGCCTCTGAAGTAGGCATCTGTCTCCACCCGCTTCCATGTTTCTTTAATTCCTGCCTGTCCCGAGGTGAGCTACTTTCCTCTGGTACCACCTAGCCTTACTGTTGAGTGGCCTTGAACTTAGAAATGTTTTCTTTAAAAAAAAATACAGAGGAATGATGAAAAGGGGAGAAAGACTATGATCCTGTTTATCTTTTGCACTGTTTTCTGTAGTTGTACAAAATCAGCAGGCAATCTTTAGAGCAGTTTTTAGAATTACAAGATTATCCCTGGCTGTAGAGCAGTCTCGCTGATGCCCACGCATATGTAGCCTCCTCCACCAATGTTTCTATCACCCTAGACCTGGGCAAATTTATTGGATTCTTTTTAATTGCATACATGTCTTTATCTTTGTTGAATGCCACAAAGTTAGAGACAGGTCACATCTTGCCTTTTGGTGGTTGTATATTTTTGCATTCTATGAGAACTAAATGACATTTTCCATTATGTTATATCCTTGTCCATGTTTGGTGACATCATTTAAGCTATTCTGAGAAACCTGCAAGTAGTCTCTATCTCATTGCCTTAATTTGCAGTTTCCTAATTGCAGGTGATCTTGAGTACCTTTTCATGTGTTTATTTTCTCTATGTGTATCTATTGTGATATATTGCTACATATCATTTTGTCTGCATCCAAATTTTGGGTTGTTCATTTTCCTATTGATTTTCAAGATTTCTTTGTATATTTTGGATGGTCTTTTAACAAATTTCTCTTTTGTAAATGTTTTGTAAAATGTGGCTCTTTTTCAATACTTTTCAAATTTTTAAGCAACATTTTTATTGTTGTAATTCAAATAAGTCATTAAAATTGTCTGTCTCTATATAAGATGATCACACCCTTATGTAAGCCTAGACAAGTCGTGTGTAAATGCATCAGTCCTATTCTTTAGTGCATCAGTGAGTCATTGAGTCTCAGAAAACAGACAAGATAAATCCTACGGTCATTTATGACTCGCTCTGCTGATGTGATACACAGCCTCAGATTCAGCCTGTTTCAGTGGGTTCCAGATGCTCAGAAAGAGGACTTTATCATGACCTCAGACATAAAATCCTTAAAATCTTAAGTGTCCAGGGTCAGACTGATAAATTTAAAATCCTGAATAGGCCACGGAGTAAAATGTCCCCGTATGTGTTGGTCCACTGGGACCACTGCGAGATGCTTAAATCCTGCAACTCAGCTCCCAATTTGTAACTTGTACAAATTGTCCTGGTTATGTGGGATTCTCCTATCTAGAATGAAACTTGAAGTAAAAGAGCATTTGGGACTTGAGAAAAACATGCACTACACTGCTGGGAGGGCCTTGGTCGTAATGGCCTCTGCCCTGCGATCAAGTTGTATATTCCTTCTCTATGCCTCATATTTATGAGATTTCCCCAGTATCTCAGGTTTCTAGAGGGTGAAATATGTCTAGCCACTTTGGGTTGCTTCTTGCTGGAGGTTCTTCCAATCCCAGGATGCTACCATTCTCCCAGGGTTGGAACCCTCTGTCCTTTGGCTCCATTTGATGCCTGTCGTACGCTCATGTTTTTCAGTTCCTGCCCCATGTCCCTGGGTCAGACTTTCTGTGAGTTATGAGAATACGATCTGATTTACAACCTTGAATTTGGCCTCGCTCTTTCTTGTCCTTGGGGGTTTTTCTATACACTGCATTTTTTTCCCTCTCTCTTTCTCTCGCTATGACACATAGTTACCTTTTGATATTTTTGGCAAATAATTAAGGTAATGATTATAAATTTTAGAAAAAATAAACACAAAACACCCAAGTAAGTAAAAGTGAAACGACAGAAGAAGATGACATTTTTTTCAGGTAAGGCCAGGTTGTTTGCCTGACTCTTCTCTCCATGAACCAGGGACTAGACAGAGGCAAAGTCTTAATTTCATTCTGTTCTAATGGCCAGAAGCACCCTAGGGGAGGAAAGCCTTAGCTTACAGGTTGCTGTCCAACACTGAGGAACGTCAGGGCAGGAAATGAAGCAGGTACTTTTGATCTGTACTTTAAGGCAGTCCTGCATCGATGTGAGATAGAAGCTAGTGGAGAAAACCCGGTCCAGGGGGACCAGTGGGAGGGAATATTTGTAGCTACATTGCATGCTGTTCCACACAAGGTTATCTCAAATATAGGAAATTACTTCACGTCCAAAAAGTACAGCAATTCCTGATACCTGGCTTGTGGGCTGGTTTATACCTAGCTAGCTTTCTTATGCATCCCATGACCACCTGCTCAGGGAATAGGACCACCCACCGTGGCCTGGGCCCTGCTACAACAATACCCCACAGACATGCCCACGGGCCAATCCGGTCGGGGCAATCTGTTGATCGACACTCTCTCCTCAGGAGATTCCCAAGCTGTGTCAAGTTGGCAGTTAAACTGACTAGAAAAGACAAGGAGTCACAGTTGTCGGCTTAGTCCCCTCTGACCACAGGCTAGCAGAACAAAGGGGACATATGCTGTAAATGCACGGAGCCTTCCACATGCCAGTTTGCCACAGGGAAGCAGCAGTGAGGGAGACAGTACAGAGTTTCAGAAATAGGTAAGTGGAGGCTCTTATGGTTAGAATGATTAGATGGAGGGAGCTATCAACAGTGACCTTGACCAAGTTTCCAGATGTTAGACCAGTCCCCAGATATTTGAGAAAGGTATTTTGCTTTATTTGAAAGCCCTGACTCTTGAGTTCTGGAGACTGCATGTTGTCTTCTGGGTCTGTGATGACTCCAAAGCATCTGAACATGACCTTTCAGTCATGAAACTGCTCTCAAGCCCATGAGGATGCAAGGCAAATATTAGCTGAGCGCCATGGAAACCATGAATATTCATTAGTGGCCCTCACCATGATGATGATTAATACCCTAATGGCTATGAATGTCTGAACTCTTTTATGGACAACTCAGTTTGAGAATGGCTTATTCTGTCTATGTGAAAACCAATTCTGTCTGTATCAAAAACTATGACAGTTGACTAATATTGACTCATCTTGAAGCATACTTAGTTTCCTGGGAGAAAACACTGCCCGAAAGTACAATTTAAGGATTAGTGTTAAGGTTAGGGCGAAGAAAAGGTTTTTGTCAGCTTACAGGGGACAATTCATCATCACAAGAAGGTAGGGCAGGGACCCATGCATGTGCCGAATCAGAAGCCATAGAGGAATGCTACTCCCTGGCTGACTCTCCATGGCTAGCTCACCTTGCTTTCCTTTACAGCCCAGGATTTCCTGCCCAGGGTGGGGACACCTGCTGACGTCAGCTGAGCACTCCCCCATCAATCATTAGTCAAGACGGTGCCCCCCACACAAACCCACAGGCCAATCTAATGGAGGCAATTCCTCTATCCATGTCCCCTCTTTCCAGGCGATTCCAGTTGTGTCAGCTTTAAACAAACTGACCAGCACATGTGTTTACGATATCCACCAATAGATGTAGTAAGGAGCTTATAGCTATTTAGCTCAGTTCATGGTCCTGGGCTATTGGAGGAATAGGCATCACACACTTGCATACACCACACACACACACACACACACACACACACACACACACACACACATGCCTTACTCTAGTACTGTGTAGAGGCTGCTGGAGGGAGAACATGCACTATGATGCTTTGACTTACATCTAAACATCTTGATAGTATGATCTTGAACAAAAGAACCATTTTCTTACAGCCTCCCGATTCTGCAGAAGAGCTTAGTACTCTTCTCTCTCACGAGAGGATTATGATGAGCAACCAGGACTCATGTTCATGACGAGTTTAGACACTGCCAAGTGCTCTAATAGTGTCTAATAAGAGTCAGGAATAGAAAACTATGTATGTTGGTATCTTTTGAATAATTAAAAAATTATAGCCAGGCCAGGGAGGTGCACACCTTTAATCCCAGCACTTGGGAGATGGAGGCAGGTGGATCTCTCTGAGTTCAAAGCCAGCCTGGTCTATAGAGTGAGCCCCAAGGTAGCCAGAAATACGTACAGAAAAACCTTATGTCAAAACAATATATATAATTTTATTCATTCCTTATTTTACCTTGGCACTGGACTTTGAATACATTCATTGCACATTAAAATAGATCTTTGGTTTACGGAACAAAGTGAAGCTTCAAAGGAACACTAACATCCTTAGAATAAAATCCTTCTTTTGTTTCTTGTTTCCTTTTAGGCCAACCGAGCAATAAGCACCATTGGGTTGGTGGCGGCTGCTATTGATATCTTCGCGTTCCTCGGCTTGTTTCCAAAGAAACAAAGAACAAAATATTAGCAATTTACTGAAGAGATTGGAATTGAAGGAATCTGTGAGGAGAAAGAAATTCTGGGGCGAATACTTATTTTGAACGCATCATAATTTCTCCCGGTCCCCATGATAGATGGCAGACTCTGTAATAAATTGCTTGCTGATTTTAATCTTATCATTGAGACAAGGAAAGTTTTTCCCCCCCACTAGTATAGACTTGCTGTGGCAGCTTGAACAAAAAGCAGTTGCCTTGTGATGGAGCCAGTTGAGGAGCTTAACAAAACCAAGATCACATTTTATCTTCCACTGTAAATATTGTTTCACTTTCCCCAAAGGACAGCCATTTTGCCAGAGGGGTGAAAGTTATTTGCATATGCTTCTGAAAGACAGTTATCAAGGCCGACATCTAAATTCATATTCTTTTTCTTGTCAGAAAAAAAAAAGGAAAGTGGATATTTCTAGTATTGGTTAGGCAACAACTCGAGAATCTCTGAATGACAAAGCATCTGATAATACCCCTTATACTGCTACCCCTGTTGGAGGTGTGAGCATGTACAAAGAGGATTGGAAGGACTTTTGTGTTTGCGTTGTTTGGGGTGCTTATAAATGGTGTGCATGCGTGGCGACAGTCATGGGTGCCAGTCATTGCTCCCCGAGACAGGGTATATTGCCTTTCACAAGTTAGGGCAGGCTGCCTAGCCCATTAGCTTCCTGAAAGTCTCTTGTCTTTACCCCTGTTTCAGTGTAAGAGATCTGGAATTTCAGATGTGCACTACCAAGCCAAGCTTCTATGGAAGCTAGGGATCTGAACTCAGGGACTCAGGCTCATGAGTAAAATGCTTTCCCCACTAAGCTATCTCCTGGATTTTTGCAGAGCCACTGGCTTACAGAGCCAGTGGGTTCCCTAGAATCTACTTGTTTGACAGGAATCAGTGATGGGCAATGGGTTGTATTTTTATTAAGTTAAATTGTTCCCTCTAGGTTGTATAGTAGCTCAGTGGCTTGATCTTTGAGCCTTGACAAGTGATCATTAATATTGATGTAAAGTGCTATATTTGGGATACAAAATCCCATATCCCTTTAAAGACTTTTACTGGAAGCCAAGGAGTCCCATTATTTTATGTTTTCGTTGTATTGATTATGTGTTGAACTAAACTACCTTTAAATACCATGCCTGTGGAATTCTCAGTAGCAAGTCCAGGAAAAGTGGAAGGTAAGTCTTTCTACACGAAGAAGATGTCAGGTCATCATAGCATTACACAGGCAGCCTGGCAGCCTGTTTGTACCATTATTAAAAGCATGTCAGCCAATAAGGAAAATATGTCTTTAAACGTGGGGATAGGATGTGATTGGAATACAGTAAAGTGATTCCATGGGACTCAATGGAAACCTCACACCTATGAAACTGGTTTTACCCTGGGGCTAGGAACACTCGAGCCAAAGGAGGTGGGCAACAGTAATGGTTAACAGAAGAAGTGTGTGCTGCAATTCCAGCCCCAGAGACCCTCTGTCTCTTTTTTAAGTTTCCTTAACAGACCCTTCTTATTCTAATCCCTAAACTCATTCTTCCCTGCTTGGTCTTCTGGGAAAGCATGAGATCACTTGTATCCTGGATGCAGGTCTCTGTTCCTGAATAGCAAAGCATGTGCCATTTCCTAGGATTGTCCTGTTAAGGTGAGGCCAGCTGCAACTGCTGGGTTACTTTGTATTCCAACTTCTCAATAAAAGATCTTTAGGCAGGGAAAGCAAACTCATAGCAGAGCATTTGTCTTTGACAGAATTATTCCACTTGAGGGAATAGTAGAATTCAGAACCAAAAGCCTATTCGGACTTGAAGTCAAGCCTTTCTAGAGAAGGCTGTCATCTCTGCTGTGGGATAATGCTTTGTACGTTTGTAAAGATTTGTCACTTGTATATGTCTAATAAAATGGTGATTGACCAGTAGCCGTGCAGGAAGTATAGGTGGGGCAACCAGACTAGGAGAATTCTGGGAAGAGGAAAGGCAGAGAGTCTGTCACCAGCCAGATGTAGAAGACACAAGATGAGAACACCTCACTGAGAAAAGGTACTAAGCCACGTGGCTAAACATAGATAAGCATTATGAGATAATTTAAGTTGTAAGAGCTGGTCAATAATAAGCCTGAGCTAATAGGCCAAACAGTTTATAATTAATATAGGCCTCTGTGTGTTTCTTTGGGACTAAATGACTGTGAGACATTTACACATCTCCACTCCAGAAGATAAGCAACACATTTTTTTAAAAAATGTCAGAAATTCACTTTTTAATTCATGGGTTCATTTCCTTCAGCAGCCTCAATTTGCCATGGAAATGGACAGTCTTAGGATGAGCAGCTCAACCCAGCTGGCTTTGCTTTCCTGTAGGTACTCATTACCCATGGGATTAATGTGACTTGTGCTTGGACCAGATTTTTTTCCCCTACACTATGATATGTGGCTAGCATACATTTAACAGTCTTTAATGGAAGTTCAACTCTATCATATTCCAAAAAATGAAATGCAATGATCATCTATAGCAGGTGATAGGTTGCTGGTAAACCTGAGAAGGAAAAACCTGTATTTTACTGAATGCATACATTTAACAAATAAAGTCTGCTATCTAAATGTCACACCATATCAACTGAATCTGTTCATTCCAAGAGTCAATTTACTGAGCCTGACTGTCAGCTAAAGGAAACTTTCACCTCTATAGCTTCAAGGATGCTTTACTTTTTTTTTTAATGATAAGCTAATGTGCTTTTAAAGACAGATTTATTTTGCCTTTTATGTACAGTTGTGCACACACGTGCACCTGCAGAGACCAAAAGAAGCATCAGTTAAACCCCCTGGAGCTGGAGCTACAAGAGGTTATTAACCACTCAGTGTGGTTGCTGGCCTCCAAAGTGCTCCTCAGCAGCGCTCAACTGCTGAGCATCTCTCCGTCCTAAAATCTTTCTAAAGGACTTTTAATGTTGTTGTTTTTTGCTAGTCACTGTATCAGTTACTTCTCTCATTGTCATTATTAAATACCTGGCAGAAGCAACTAAAGGAAAGAGGGGCTTCCTTGGCTCCCAGTTTTGGAGGGATTTCAGTCCATCACATGGGAAGGTATGTGGGCAGAAGTGTGGAGCATCCGGCCACACTGTGTCCACAGTGATGACATGGAAGAAAGGGACACAGGTGTTCAGCACCCTTTCTCCTTTTTATTTTATCAGGAACTAGGACCATGGATGGGCAACTTCTCTCATGTCAATAAAAACTTTGGAGAAACATCTTCACAGACATACCAGAGATGTCTTCTCTATATGAGTCTATTGGACTCTCTAAGTCCAATCAACTTGACAATGAAAATTAATTGTTACAGCCAATAAATCAGACAGATTTAAAATTATCTTTCTCCAAAAAGCTGTGAATATACAAAAAAAACCCTAAAGGCAAATGTATTATTTTTAGGTATGCACATTGGTGCTGATAGTTTGAGTAGCAGTGTCTACAATGCTATTTGCAGCCATAGTTTGCTAAAATGTTGAAAACTAAAGATTTCAGAATGTAAGCCAACAGCCATCTTATAGTGAATCCATACATTTTGTTTTTAAGATGATCAGCGATGAGATCAGGGAAGTTTCTAAAGTCAGATTTTGATACTTCTGTGTATTATTAATAATAATAAAGATGGGAATGTACTTTATGAAGTGAGAAACACATTTGAACAGTTTATTACTTTAGTCTACTTGGAACTGCCACGTTCACTGGCCCCATACAATAAACACTGGGAATGCACAGAGCTGGTGTAGTTTGCTTATATTTTAGCAGTGCCCACACCATACTTATAAATGATTAGCACTGATCCACTTCCACAATCTCTGGCTTCCTGTGTAGTTAGGGCAGAATTCTTTCTTCTTCTTTTCCCTCTCTCTCTTGAAGCCATACAAAAGACGTAAAAGAAGGAGGAATTTGGCGATCCTGGGCAAGATAGGTACAATAATGTGCTTCACAAATTAGCATAAAATTAAGGAAACTTAGCATCGCTTAATTAATGAGCCAAACTTTTGAATACTAAATGCTCTGGTTTTTCTTCTCTCTTGATGTCCATATATCTAATGCAATTGCATGAGAGCTGTGCAGTTAAAAAGAAAGTCAGTAGGATATAGTTTATTAAAACGGTGATCTGAGATGTGCAGGTTTTTCTCTCACTAGTGAAGGGTATAATGAAGGTAAGGTTCTTTGATGCAAGGCTCAATATATTGAAGTGCTCTGAATGCTTAGATGGAGAGAGAAGAGAAGGGTCTGCAACTTTCACCTCTCCACGGTGTTCAGTTTGGAGGACAAAAGGTGATGATGAGGAACAAGCATGACAGCTGCTCAGGTCATAGTCTGGTCCAAAAGTGTTGTTCTGAAGCTTGCCCGGCCAGCCTGAGTCTCCCTTTAGGGACCTGTTCAGGGCTTTCATAGGCTCTGTTGATGTAGAATCCATTTTTGCCATCGTCTGCATAATCTGTCCTGTTCATGGGAGGCCAGGTAGAGTCTTCTGCCAGCTTCCTCTGCAAGATCCTGTACTGGCTTTTTGAGTAGAATCCAAATTCTTTCTTTATCAACAGCCAGAGCTCTCTATTTTGAAGGATGGCATCCTGAAAAATTTGGGGAGAGGTGATAATGAAATCATTGTGGCTACATAAGTGAGCCCCTCCCAGCCAGACAGCACTGGAAGCCTGGGACCCAGGGCTTCCTCTCAGCCGAGCTCAATGCTGCTGCTGCTGCTGTTTCCCCTGGGAGCTGAGATGTTTACAGGCACAGAAACCTGCTGAACACTAGAGGCCTGTGCTTTCTTCAGATTTCCTGGTGAAATCCCGGCTGGGGATTCATTTACAGTTCTTTCACTATGGGGCTCAAACTAACAATAACACACCAAATATCTGGAAAACAAAACAGAAGAAGGAAGAGATGGGAAGAGAGAAAGGGAAGGGGAGCGGAGGGGACGGGAAGAAAACCAAAGAAACCAAAAACTGAGTTCCACCACCTTGTCACATACAAAGTAACAAATTTTGTTGGTTGAATGAATTAGTCTGTAGCAATCAAATGTTTTTCAAATTTATTTGTATTTATGCATGTGTGTGTGGTGGCTTGGAGGTATGTGTATGTGCCTACAAGAGTCTGCAAAGGGCAGAGGGTATCAGATGAGCTGGAGCTGGAATTACCCAGGTGGTAAGTTGTCTGATAGGGTGTTGGGAGCCAAAGTCAAGTCCTCTGCAAGAGCAACAAGTACTCATAATCATTGAGTCTCTCTCCTCCCTCAGGCTTGTTTTGATTCTCGTCCTTTTGAATTCCCTTTTATTCTTTCCTTATGCAATTTTTGCAAATGATACAATTGATCCAATTTTGCATTTTGCTTTCCTTGGTTTTCACTGATTTTCTGTCATAGACAACGCCTCTGTAATTATATCTTTTAAGGCATTTTATTGTAGTTAAGGTTGTAGTCATCGTATTATCTTTAAAGACTACAGCATTTCTCCAAATGGCAGCATAAGCATTAAAACACACCATTTGGATTATATTTTGCTGTCATAGATAACACTATTATGAATCTCTTCATACAAATTAGGATTTAAAACTTTTTGGTCTCATTTAAAAAATTTGATATAAAGGTGGAATTCTGAATGAAAGAGTACAAGAAATTTACACACACACACACACACACCTACTTAATTTGATTAGTCTTTTCCCTCAAAGGATATGCTAATAATTTGAATCCTCTCTCTCTCTCTCTCTCTCTCTCTCTCTCTCTCTCTCTCTTTTTAAACTTTTTTTAAGAAGCACTGTCCAGTCCTTTTACTGTGTGAATGAGCTATTCAGTGGTCCTGAGTAGAACCATGGACCACCCATGAGAGATCTTCCACAGGAAATAGTTGATGACAATGAAAGTGGGTTTCCTTTCTCTCCTGATTAGAGGAGGCAGCCCTCCTGAAGATGCTGTTTTTAAAGGTCTCCTCACATTTCAGAGCTGCTGGGTCACCTGGTCTCCCTTCTAGATAACAGAGAATAGTCAGGAGTGAAAACAGCGCCTCTTGTGACAAGTATTGGAACTGAATCAGTGTTCGGGAGAAAGACACCAGGGCTATTTCTCAGCAGCCTTTGCAGAATTTTAAGTCACACTCCAAAGAATTCCTTCCAACAAGATCATGCACAGTCTTCAAAATGCCTTTACTAACCCTCTTTTGGGAACTGAGGAAGTTGCTGTAAACAGTGAGTGTAGGTTGAGAGCAAAACTGAATTTACATAACTACCTTAAAACAATGACAGGAGCCGGGTACTTTACCTCCACAAAGAAGGCCACACAGAACTGGACAAGGGCTGCCACCAGAATTGAAACTCTCCATGACAGGATGGTTGGGATGAACTGTTGAAAAAGAATGGCCGCCGTTATATATTATGTATTTTACATTTTGAAAAGGTACACCATGCTTGCTATTATATAGAATTTCTGTATTTGCAATAACCCTGAAGTTGAGGGTTGGCATTGTTCTCTTTACTTCACAGATAGGAAAGCTGAAGGCTGGCCCACCTTGTCCAAGGACTTAGTCAAAGCCAGAATCTAAACTAAAATGGACTCCTGAAGGCCTAAGCTCCCTCCATAGCTAAATGGCGTCTGTCAGGTGAGCAAGACACCTTGGGCAGTGAAGCAGAGGACACTTCAGAGTGGTTCTCTTCATTTAAGCTTTAAAACATCGGGAAGAGGATGTAAAATTAAGTTGTTCTGCAATTCTTACTGTTTAATGTGCTCCTAAGGCAAAAATTAACCTTAATTTCCTCCAGCAAAACTGACTTGTGGGTAAAAACAATCATAAGTCATGACAAAAGATTAAGGTTGCTTTGACTGAGTATGACGTTTTGTACAAATGCTACTGGTCCCGAATTTATCGGCTTTGTGCAAATCTAATCCGTACAAATACTGCAGGGTCACAGACTCACCAGGAAGCATCTCTGTTTATTAGACATAAGAGCTACACCCATGGTGGATTGGGAGCTATACAACTCAGTTTCCAATGTGCAGAAAATTATATGGAATGTGTAGGAATCTGAGGTCTAAAATCACAGAATCCTCCACCCCCATAGGGTCTAACCCAGGGGTTTTCAACTTGTGGGTGGCAAATCAGCTATTTACATAATGATTCATAACAGCAGCAAAATTACAGTTCTGAAGCAGCAGCAAAACTAATTTGTGCATGGGGGTGAGTCACCACAACCTGAGGAACTGCATTAAAGGGTCGCAGCATGGTTGAGAACCGCGGGTCCAGCCACTCACTTCAAATGCTCATCTTGGGCTGGGCTGTTTCAAGGCACTACTTGGTCATTTGTTTCCCTGCTCTGCCTGGGCTTGGAGGAGCATCATATCAGGTGGAAGGCTTCGGAGAAGCAGGATCAGACTCATTGCTGCTCCCACCGTAAATGGGGAAGGTTCTTCTCCACCCCTGGGCTGGGAATGTACTTGGTTTGGCATTATTCATGGCGATAATTTGGAATTATGCAGAGCAGACGTTCATCACTTCTAAATTACTCAGGGCAGCATCTTACTTAGATTCTGATTCTGAACCGAGCACATCCCGGAGTTCTGTAACTCATACACTAAGAAAGGCTCGCCTGAGTGTTCATCTCCTAAGTGTCTCTCCATCACCTTGCTTTCCTGACCTTGTTTAATGAATCTGTCTGAAATGTCCTTCCAAGGAACCTTCAGCGCCTCCCTGGTATTTTGGCAGAAAGTACAAAGCTGGTTGGCTGTCTCGGAGGGTACCTGCCTCCCTTCATTTCCTGTCTCCACACTCCACAGTCCGGCCCTTGACTCTGCTTTGAATACTTTCCTACAGTTCTGTAGAGTCGATCTGTAATGCAAGCCTTTCTTGGATTTTTTTTCATCCCTGTCACCCCATGTTCTTTCCATTTCTAGACCCAATGTTATTCTTTGAGAAACAAAAGCTCCCCAGCCCTTTCTCCTAGTGCTGGGCAGTTCTGCCCAGCAGAAACAGCCTGACCTGGCAAGATGCAGCCTGTGTGTGTGGGCCGGCACCAACCCGGGTTTCTTCCCATGAGGTCCTCACCACTGTCACAGCAACAGTGAGAATTCCTTCCTATATCTCTCCAGCTCTAACAGCTAAGCTTGGAGAATTAATTATTATATTAGTGTATTGTTTTTACTGTATTAATAAAATATGGCAAGACAAAGTTTTTAAACAAGATAGTTAAAAAACATTTTGTTACATTTGGCGTGCAAGCATGAATGTAGACTGTGTGTGTGTGTGTGTGTGTGTGTGTATAATGGGACATACAAGCCACAAAATACATGTAGATGTCACAGGTCATTATATAGGAGCTGGTTCTCTCCTTCTACCTTGTGAGTCCCAGGGAATGAACTCTCTGGTTATCAGGCTCAGTTGCAGGCATATTTTCTCAATATGTCATCTCTCTGGTCCCAAACAATGTTTTAGGCGTTAACACTATGAACACGCTAAAATGATGACACCATTTATATGAAAATGTATGTGAAATACAGAAATATTTCTCTTCTAGAGAAAAAAAGTTTGTGGTGTTTAGTGAGTCAGAGAGAATAATGATTGACTTAGGACTGGCAATGCAAGTGCAGCTCTGGCACGTCTGAGTCATAACGGGATTATGATGTACAATACTTACCTCCATTCCATGGTAGATAGCTGGAAAGTCAGAGAAGAGAAGGAAAACGGTGAGGCCCACAGCAGATGTCAGCAGAAGTGAGAACAAATCTGCAGACACACAAAACACCATTTTCAGGTGCTAAGAGAACGCCTCGCAGGACTTGGCACATGTTAGCAATCAGTTCGTGTCAGGCAAGTGCTAGGTGGATCTTCAGATGTTTTGAGACATCATCATATGTTTCAAAATATGTTCTAATATTTGTAAGATAAAGGTGTCATATTAAAAATCTTGCCTCATAAAGATGGAATCAAACGTGTTATAGAAACTTCCAGGCAGGATTCATCTTCACTGGGGGTCCCTTGGGTGCAAACATCCTGCCATGACGAGCCCATCTGAATGGTTGGCAGAGAAGCCCCGCACATGATCACACCATCTAGTGAAACACACCCATGTGGGACTCACCCAGTACCCATAGCTTCTTATTTTTCACTCCCGGGAGAATAAGATACAAGAATTTGCCACTGACATTCAGGGCTTTCCAGTGCCAGGCCAACAGCCTTTCTGAACTCCTCTGCCCGCCTACATTCTGTTCCCTACCAAGAGCTCACTTAGTGCCAAGGGTAGACAATATTCCTTCTGCCAGGGTACATTCTATTTTTTTGTACTTAAAGAGCCCAATTCACATAGCAATTTCCTTCCAACTCCCTAATCCTCCCTTTCAAAGTTTATTTCATATCACACATCACATTCTGATTTGTATGATGTCAATTGATCTATTAATCGGGCTGCAGTTATTCGGAAGTGACTGCATCTGAGGTTTAGGGACTTTGACTTGGGAAAGGGAAATTAGAAATAATTATTTGGAGCTGGAGAGTTAGCTCAGCAGGTAAGAGCACTGGCTGCTCTTCCAGAGATCTTGAGTTCAGTTCTCAGCAACGACATGGTGGCTCACAACCACCTGTAATGAGATCTGGTGCTTCCTTCTGACCTGTATGCAGGTAGAACATTGTAAAATAATAAATAAATAAATAAATAAATAAATAAATAAATAAATAAATAAACCTTGTTTTTAAAAAAGAAAGAAATGTTCAAAGCTGTGAGTCCTGCTAACAGTTAGTCCTGGTATGCCTGATTCTTATCAGTAACTGACTGAATCCTACAGATTCAGTGTGTCCTCAGGTTAGTGATCTACAAAGCAGGCCCCCCTCTTTGACTTTAGCTTTGGTTTAAAAAAGGCAATGAAGAAACAAACCGAGTGTCTTCCCTCCATGGTTAGCTGCTGTTGAGAAAGAATGGGGAGGCAAGTAATTTAATAAGCAAATACTGCACAAATACTATTACTTGTTTTCAAATAAAGGAAGGGTTGGTAATGCTCAGACTTGCTTACAGAAGAAAATCAATGTGTACTTTTCCTGTATCTTGTCATCATGAGGTTGACCCCTCAAACACTGATTAGGAAAGCACAATTTTTGTTATTTAAGATGAAATCACTCATATAATGCGTCTTAGCACCTCTGAAAACTTCTGAATTCTAACCCAAAAGTTTACACTTTGTAATATCATATATTGGGGCAGGAGAGAAAGTTCAGGGTTTAAGAGCATGTACTGCTCTTAAGAAGAACCTTAGTGATCTCTGTCCCCAGCACCAACATAGGGTGGCTCACTACTGCCTGTAAATCCAGCTCCCAGGGGTCCAAAGCCCTCTTCTGGACCCCATGGCCACCTTCACCCACATGTGCATGGATCCTGCCACATACATGTACATATACTTTAAAAAAACAATGAAAGGTTATGTGTATCAGAATATTTGACCATCAAGCCTGCCCCCATTTGGAATTATTAGTTACACCAGCAGGTAAATGTAGCTTGACACAAGCCAGAGTCATCTGAAAGGAAGGAAGTGCAGTTGAGAAAATGCCCACATGAGATCTAGCTATAGCACAATTTTCTTAATTAGTGATCAATTCGGGAGGGCTCAGCTCATTGTGGATAGTGCCATTCCTGGGCTAGCAGTCCTGGGTTCTGGAAGAAAGTAGGCTGAGAAAGACGTTATAAGCAAGTCAATCAGCAGCATTCGTTCATGGCCTCTGCATCCGCTCCTGCCTCCAGGATGCTGCTGGGTTTCAGTTACTGTTCTGAGTTTCTTCAGTGATCTACTACAATGTGTGAGTGTAAGCCAAATTAACCTTTTCCTCCTCTTTTGATCATGCTGTTCCATCACAGCCGTGGGTTTCAACCTTCCTAAGGCTGCGACCTTTTAATAACACAGTTCCTCATTTTGTAATGAGCCCAACCATAAAATTATTTTTATTCTTACTTCATAACTGTAATTATGCTACTCTTATAATTGATAATGTAAATATCTGTGTTTTCCAATGGTTTTAGGCAACTCCTATGAAAGTATCATTGCGGCCACTGCATTCCAGCAATAGAAGCCCTAACTGGGATGACCACCAAGCCTAATGACTTGAGGTTAGTCCCCAGCGTTCGTTAGCTCCTTCCCATAGACGGCTGTCCTCTGCCTCCACATTAACACTATAGCACACACATGACATCCCCCAACAACTGGATAAAATTATTGTGTCCATCACGAGATACCAGTTTTCCTTTAAACTTCAAGTCCCCATGTTGTAACTGATCTAATTCTAATTCATTACACATGTGTGAAAGTTCCTTGTATTGTATTTACTATTAAAGCACCAGGTAGTGAGAATACCCTGCCTATGATACACTGACCTTGGAAATAAGGACTATAAGAAATAAAGCCAAATGCTCGTTTGTTGGGACAAAAGTCTAGGGTACTTTTCCAACAGTGCTTCAGAACGGAGAGAACTGATGAGAAACTCAGACATCGACAGGAAATAGAAGATGAGAGGGAGACACCAGCATGATTGCCAATCCCGTGAGAAGACAGCATTGCCAAACTTGTTCAAGAACCAAGAGAATCTGAGTAATACAATTGGATGAAAGCACTTTAACAATAACTGCATATTCATAACTTTAGCCAGGAGCCTAACACACACAACACCGAAGCAATTTCTCCAAAGCAGGTGTCGGATGCTAGGGTGTCTAATCACAGCTATGAAAACAGCCATTTGTGACTGAGTTTAACTGAAACGCACCCTCCTCCCCCCATATACAAATAAAGAAACTTATTAAAGTCTATTGTATCAAAGAGGAAACAAAATGTATGTTTATGAACTATTACAAGAAACAGAAGAAAGAAAAGTGAAAGCAAAATCTGACCCCCTTCTCTCAACTCAAGTAAAACTCACTGTTCCGAAAAGTAGTTGGCCAAAGAAGAAACTAGGTCAAACTACTGGTAGGAAAAAATATAAAGGATGGAATCCAAGCTCCAATGAGTAGCCTTGAATGCTTTCCTAATCTCATGAAGATGAAAAAACATACATGCACCATGAAGTTAACTCAAAATAAATTGAAGGAAAGAAAGGAAAACAAACTTTAATAAAAGAAAAAAATCAAAACTATTACAAATTAAAAGCCTGAGAGCTACTTTGTTATTAACCAGTAAAATGGAAAAAAATGCATTTAAAGCCAGAAGAAAAAGCAAGGTTCTTAGCGATTTGGATCTGAAACATTGTCCAAGAGCTTAGGTTGGAAGCTGTGGTTTCCAGAGGGCATGGCCTTCAGCACAGCACGGAGGTGGCACCTTCAAGGGGTGGGTAGGTAAGGAGGGTCCTAACCTAATCATGGATTATCCCACTGATAGGCTCACAGTTTAATGACCTATCACAAAGTTGTAAGAAGTTGAGACAGTGAGCTTTTGAAAGGTATATTTTTGTCCCTGGCTCATCCCACCTCACTCTACCCAACCCCACTCCAGCCCGGCCATTTCCTTCCTCGCCTGCCTGTACCCCCATGCCCCAGGTAGCCCACACTTGCTCTCTTTCCTGCATCCTGACCTACAGAAGATGAGCAATTTCACTCTATCACATATTCCCTGTCATTAGTTCTCCTGCACTGAAGTCCCAGACACAACAGAGGCAAGTAACCACAGATTAAATCTAAAAATTGATTTTTTTGGTATTTTGTCACAGTGAAAGCTGGTTAATACATATATACATATAACCAGGACAACAGTCATGGTCACAGGAAGTGCTTAGTACTGTAAGAAAAATCCTACCCCAAATTGTATGATAAAGTTTGATAATATCAATGAAATGGTATTGATGGTATAAAATTTAATGGCATTATTTTAAGACAGCATGACTTAAATCAATCTTTAAAACACCTTTTCAGAGGAAGGATTTGCAGCCAAGTAATTTACTGCTAAATTTTTGCAAGTTGTCAAGGAAAGAAATCATTATTGTGTATTAAAATCCTTACAGAGAAAAGAAAAAGTCAAGTTTTTCAGAACAAAACTTCTGAAAAATACAGCATGAAATGTAGTTCTTCAAAAAGTTACAAAATTCAATTTAGCAAAAGTTTATTCTACTACAGCTAAGTAGGATTTTCTCAAGAATATGAGTTAATAACAAAATTATTAAAATAACTCATGTGTAGCTCGGGATAAGATACAAAAAGAGTATTCATCTTGGTAGATAATGGAAAGTCATCTGTTGAAGTCTGTCTGCTAGATCGAATTTTGAAATCTCTCTTGACTAATGCTAACAGGAATATTTTCTTTATATAATAGGAGCTTTCCACAATGATTTCACCAACAGCCAAAAACATATTTATGAACAGTTTAAGAGACAAATCCTACAAGTGTTGTTATAAGGTATCCATTTATCTGTTAGCCTTGATATTATCTAACATTGTCCCGAATTCTGGATTCCATTCGTTAGAAAACATAGGAAGGTATTTAGTTGTTTCAAAAGAAGAAGGAACAATCGTGTATGCAGTCACTATCACTGTTTTTCTGAAACACCTACAACTCAAGGTAACAACAAAGGTCAGGAAGGATTCTGGGTAGAAAGTGAAAGTGATACCGCACCCTTCCCATGTCACAGTGACATTCAGTTCTAAATACAACAGGAAGAAGTGACTCACAAAATAAGCAAAAGGAAACAGGATTAGTTCTCAAATGCACAGCACCGATAGTGGAGAAAACTCCAGATATTAATGGATAGATAAAAGAAATGAGGATAAAGGTGGGGTGTGCTATGTTCTGCTTGTGAAATATCCCCGTAGGCTCACACTGCTGCGGAAGGTTGAGGAACCTTAGGGAGGCAGCGCACCCTGGTAGACAGCAGGAGTAAGCCTTGAGAGGCACCTGAGGAGGCCTGACTCCTGTCACCTTTGCTTCCTGACTGTGAACACGTACGACCAACCACTGCACACTCCTGCTATTGTGCCTTGCTCGCCACGATGAACTGCATCCCCCAAACTGTAACACAGACAAGCGCCTCCTCCAGTTTTTGGTCACATCCTTGGCCACAAGAATAAGGAAATAAGCAGCGAGTGTGGAATGCTCCTGTGCGGGAAGATTAAATGATATAAATCCATAAATTCTTCCCAAGGTGTCAAGACCCCAAGGGAGAAATGTTGAAGCTGAACACATTATTCTACAATCCATCTGGAAGAAAATACAGGAAAGTGGGATGCTGTAAAAAATGAAGAAAAATGAGAGCCTACCACCCACACGCTGCTTATTAAATACACCAGGAAGCGATAGTTGGTAAAGTGCCACTGCACACAGGACCAGTGAACTAGAAAACAGTGTGAAAGCAGACTCGCTCTACACACATATGTAATATGTGCAGGTAACACAAAGGAACAGTATCTAATACAAATTACCTAGAATTAAACAATAACTTACATGAACATAGATATGATGAGGCTGGTATTGCCCTCATTGGGGGAACAAGTGAATGAAAGGAATATTAGATATTCAATAGTACAAAAGTCTGCTAGAAAAATTGAGTACTTGGGTAGACTAACTTGACTCACAGTAAATATACCTCACTGTATTAAAATTTAAGAAGCATTAAAATAAGTAAGTTTAATCGGTTCTGTTTTGTAATTAGTGAAACCTTTCTGTGCATTAAAGGCAATGAGAAAAAACAACTACATACAGATAAATAAGGAAAGTGGCAGAAACCTAATATGAAAATAGATTAAATGGACACAGACCAATCAGAGGCAACATGGTTAATAATACAGATCTCTATATCTCTTCATTTTTGATAAAAATCCAAATTAAAGCTAAATTAAATACCATGCTTTAAAAAGTCTTATCAGATCAGCAAAAGTTTGATTTAGTAAGCATTTTATTTCTCATTGGCTATACTGTTACAAAACAACTAAAAAGCAACAATGAAAATTGCTACAAATATTCCGAAATCAATGTGAATCATATCTCAAAAGCTGAAATATTTATTTTCACCTGATTTCACCAAGCAGTTATGCTGGTTTCCTTAAGGAAATTGGAGGTCAGTTGAAATGATTTATAGGAGTTTTGTTTCGCTTTTTATTTAATGCTTTGTAACCCAAACTGCTTCAGATTTGCTGTGTAGCCCAGAATGACCTTGAACTCCTCTTGCCTCTACCTGCTACACGCTAAGATTGTAGGCACGTGACACCACTCCTGGCTTTACATGGTACTGGGGACTGAACTCGGGGTTTGGGGCATGTGCGGCGAGGATTCTAGTAACTAAGCTACACTGCCTGGCAGCATGAGTACACTTTGACGTGGAATTACTTAACAATGCTGACATGGCAAAGCCAGCTGTGTGGAGACAGATGTTCATGCACCTGAACTTCCAAAGGCTCTGCTTGAACTGTCACAATCACTAACAGTATCTACTCTTCTGCTTACAAAGGTGTGGAAGGACCCATTCTGCATGGTTTGTTTACCTGACTATAGATCTTGATTGTAGCTTCTGTTTTGGATTTGCCTTTATTCCACTTAGAGAAATGTATTGGAGAAGACAAGCTTGTTTTTTAAAGCACATATTATAAATGTGAGGACATTCCTGTGTGTTTCACTAGGCCCTTTTCATAAAATGCTTTATTTAATTCTTACTCCAAGACTGAAGATCATACAGCATTTTCATTCTACACATGAGGAAAACTGTCCCAGCTTTCTGAAGCTACTAAGAGGTTTTGTGAGTTCCTTAAAAGCCTTCTACAAAATCTCTTGATATATAAGCGTGTGTGTCGAATGACTCTTGATGACTCATTTGAACATTTAATAATATCTGTATATCCTCAAGTGAGCAGGTCTCTGCCCTTGGGTGCTCTCTCCCTTCTAAGGCCATTTTATCGGGTTTCATGCCAGAGAGAGGCAACGTCTCATTTGCTGGGAAACTGACTCTGAGAAGGAAATGGGGACAGAAAAGGACTCAGAATGAAACTTTACACTTTGTACACTTACAGTTTGTGTAGATGGGTTTCCGAAACGGCTTTCCCTTAGAAAATATAAATGCTACTGAGATACAGTTGAAGGTGACGATGGGCCACAAGGTAGTGCTCTCAAAACTTAGAACAGAAGCAGGAACCAAAGTTGCATTTCCAGTCCAGTTTTGTTCCACACTCATATTGGTTGAGAAATTACTTTGGTTGGTCAGGAAGCATTCACTATGAAAGAATTGCCAGCATTTATGAACATTTTCTATACTTTCTTTAAAAATCTATTAGATGACAATGTAATTTAATTACCACCAGGTGACTTCGGCTTTTAACCTGTCCCTGTTGGTGGCTAACAGGACAAGTCACGTTTACTTCTCATAATGACAAAGCAGAAATAAAATTCATAAGAAATCAAAATTATCTCCTGTCTGTCCTCCAAGTAGAACAAATAATATGTCTTAAGAGGCCTTAGGTGACAATTTCTAGGGAAATTGCTGTCAAATCAAACAGTAAATGTACAATATGGAAAAATGTGTATTTACGTGTCTGTTTGTGTGCTTTTGTGTGTGGCATGAGTGTGTGTGTGTGTGTGTGTGTTTAGGCTTATGTAATGTGTTTATTGTGGATATTTATGTGAATGTGTATACATATGTATGTGTCTGTGTTGTGTATATTTGTGTGTGTGTATTTTCTTTTATTTATTGATGTAAGCCTCTTGACTTGCATCCTGAGCTGGTTCCCTGCTCCACTCTCTCCTCGGAAGCTAAGGGATTGTAGTAAAGACCCAGAACAGTGTGTCTGATTGTGAGGTGTCTCTGGCTTTAACATACTGACAAGGTAAGCTCAGAATTCTCAGTCTCACTTAGAAGACTTGCAAATTCTGCTCTCAACCTATCTGGTCTTATCTTTTCCAAGCCCCTACTGAGACCTCTTATTCTGGTAACATAATAAGGGCTCTTCCCAAACTACTACAAAAGTTTGAGATGGATGTACTGTTCGCATTAACTACAATTTCATTTATTCTTCACCCCTCATTATATCTAACTCTGGATGGGAATTAGTTCTAGTCCCCCTCCCCTGTTCTTTCCTCTTGCTGCATTTAGCTCATTATTTTGTTGAGGTTTTTTTTTAATTTTCACCCACATATTATGAGTCTCCTTTGTGGTTTTTGTATTAATTTACAAGTTTTTTGGTATCTATCATAATGGGATCATACAATATTTACTCAGCAAAATATGTCCTTAAGATCTAGGCTTTGTCAGCTCTGATTGACCTATTTGCAATGCTCTTCTTTATTACAAGGATGAAACCTGAAAATTGGTTCTAGTTGACTTTCTTGTTTAGCTTGAAACTTTTAAATTACTTTTCATCTGTTTATAACTTATTTTCCAAATAACTCAAATGTAAGACGACTTCTTCTACTTCTTTCCTTCTTTTTTCTTCCTTCTACCTCCCTTTTTTTTCGCCACTGCCACCTTCTTCATCATTGTCTTCTTTTTTCTTCTTCTTTTCCTTTTCTCTTCTTCTTTGCTGCTGCCTTCCTCTTTGTCATCATTGTCTTTGTCTTCTTTTTCTTCTTTATCTCCTCCTTCTCCTCTTCCTCCTTCTTTGAGATAGTGGCTGCTTAGGTTTATGTCAACTTGACACAAGATAGAGTCATTTGGAAAGAGGGAACCTCAATTGAGAACATGCCTCTCTCAAGTTGGCCTGTAGGCAAGCCTGTGATGCATTTTCTTGATTGGTGATGGATGTAAGAGGGCCCAGCCCATGGTGGTGATGCTCTGGGCAGGTGGTCCTGGATGGTGGAAGAGAGCAGGCTGAGCCAGCCACGAGGAGCCAGACAGTAAGCAGCACCCCTGCATAGTTTCTGCTTCCATTCCTGACTCCAGGTTTTGCCAGATTCTGCCAGTTCCTTCTTCCCTGACTTCTCTCAGGAATAGAGTGTGATCCTAGGGCAGTGAAAAGAAAACAAGCCCTGTCCTCTCTTTTGGTCATAGTCTTATGTCACAGTAGAAAGCTTAACAAAGTGAGAAAGTGTCTTGCTACATAGCCAAAGTTGGTATTGACCTCATGATCTTCCTGCCTCAGACTTCTAAGAACTGGGAATATAGGTACGCATCACTATGCCCAGCCAGGTTTAATTTTAATACCTTGGGGTTAATATGATTTATAAATGTGTTTTGTATGTAGTAAATGTTCAGTTTGCTAAATGATATTTGCAAAGATCCAGCAGTCATAGTCTTGATATGGGTGGGTCCATAGGCTAGAGGCCCTGGATCTCAGAGCTTAACACCAAAGAGTTTGAAATTCTGTCCAATCACATTGAGATGAGGAAGGTGAGCGCTGGTGTGAGGCAAGGAGTGATAGACCCAGGGCCATGTTGGTTTCCTGGCCATGCCGCAGTGGCTCTATCCTGCTTCCTCCTATTTCCAATCACAGCTGTACTTCTCTGCATATATTTGCTCCAAACGAGGGGGACATTTGGTTCTGAAACTTTGTGAGGCTGTGTATTCCAAGTCACAGTTGAACTGCTGACATGGGAGTCTGAATGAAGACCTTACTTGTCACTTGCTCCATTCATGTTTCTGTGCTCTGGGGTTCTGATGCCAATAGGCTCATAGTGGAGAATACAGCTTGAGTTAGGAAAAGGAAATCCTGAGTTTCCGTATTGCCTATGGCTGTTCCCGTACTACAATAGCATCATCAACTAGTTGCCAGGAGATCCTCCACCTCAGAAAGCCTGTGATGCTCTTCCCTGACTCTGTGCAGGAACACTTACCAAGACTTGGTCTGCGTGAAATCCATGCCCCAGGGAATGGACACATTCAGGCATCTAGCTGTTAGATCATCTTATCAGCAACCACGGTGACAGATCTTTCCCTGCAAACTCCACGTGCTCACCCAGCATGCCACCCATTAAATGCATTCTGTTCTATCATTTATGATTTGCAGTATGAAAGTATTGTTTTATTTTTGTTGCTATCAATTTAAGTAATGTCACGGTGCACTGCTTACATCTTTTTCAGAATGGAAACCTAAGGGAATGAACTCACCTGTACTGATAGGCCTCGCAGTACCAGGGCTGCTGCTTCACAGAGAGAAAGGCAGACACCAGCACAATGCAGGTGAAGCAGGAATTCAGGAAGACCGAGAGCAGCAGCTGAGGAGAAAGCAGTTGTCCTGCTGGTCTGTATGGAGCCAGTTTCGGGTAGGCATGATTTATGCTCACTGAAAAACAGGTATATGTTTTTCCTTTAGAATTTGATTTTTGAGGTTGAAAGATGAGATGCATAGCCTCTTGAGTCTCTGAGTAAGACTCAGCTTGAGAAAGCACCAACTGCAGGGTTACGCCTACACCAGCCGTTACGTCACCGCACATCCATTTCTACTAATCTTGGTCTCCTCTGTTGCTTTGGTTTTACTTTCCGAAGTAAAAGGTAAAGGACTTATAGGCCCTGTAATTGACTACACAATGCTCATATTTTTCCTGTGAATCCAGCAGAGATGATACATAGAGCAAGATGAGCAGTACCATCCTAACTAATCCCTGTATGGTAATTAAAAGAAAGCATCCACTCTGCTCTTCAACCAATGGTATCCAAGCACTTCAATGGGCCAGGCACTGTGATAGATCTTACGCTGTGCCTGGCTCCTTTCTGGATACACATGTCAGGGGGAATTGCTGCTGCCCGTTCCATTTGGTCTGGTACAGGAGGCAGGCTTATAAAAAACCTTGTTTTCTGATAATAAAGCTAAAACATATTGCATTTTTAACCCTAGGGTTTGACATTTAAAGTGATTGGAAATACAAAAATAAAGAACATATAATTTTTAAATATGACTACATCCTTTGTAAATGCTTGGTGCTCTAACAGACCAATGAGCATGGAATCTGCTCTGCCTTTCAGGACAGAGCAGGAAAAAGGCATGGAGAGTTACCAATTCAGACCATCTCATTTAAAGATTTATGGAAGTCAGTCTTTAATCTCGGTGTTCAATATGTCACCTCATCTCCTTTCTCTGCTTTTCCATTTTAATAAATTAGAGCACGTGTACTCCAGTTTATGTTCATGGGTGTGGAGGTGAGGTAGAAGGGAATTGATGTAGACTTTGGGATAATAAAACGGTGCAATAGATTTCTGTTCACTGTGTGATCTGGGATAACAATGTATACTCTCTGGTACTTGACTTTTTCATGTAGAGTAAGAGTATGGTGTAATGTTTAAGTGCTTCTCAAAGGCCCTCCCAACTAACTCATTCTAAAGCTCCTCTCTGACTACCCAAGGCATCACTATTACATCCCAGTGTTTTCACAACAGGGTGTTAGAGGCTGGAAAATATGCAGGGTCTCTTACTCTGACTTCCCAGTGCTAAGTCGAGTGGATACACAGAAACTATGTTTATTACCAAGGAATATGAAGGGCACAAAGGTACTAATTTAGAGTACAGTTTGGTCCTGTATTATCCATTTAGCAGAATAGTGGTAGGAAGTTTATCCTGGGTTCTGTGAGTTCCTCGACCATCAATTCTTAGCCATATTTACACTATCAGGCACACATTTCTTTCTGCTTAATTATGAGCAGAAAGTGGTTGGTTACCTCTGTACCATTTGTTACACTATTGCACTCACAGGCAATTCTTGCAATACTAGTTATTTCTGTGCTTCACAAAGTTCACAGCTGACGAAAATCTGTTGATGACGTTTCCCTCCTTAGCCTACATAACACTTTCCAGTACTAAGACAGATAGCTAACAAGGAGGAAGCTTCTTTGACTGTATCAATTTGATTTTCCTATGTCCTATGTGTTGTGTCTTCAGCAACAAGGTCTTACCATCAAGTTGTGGTGGGAAACTAGGGCAATGGCCATAGTTTAGGTTGTTTGAGGGTAGCTGTTGGACACTCCTATTGAACACTATGCTTTTTATAGGGCAACTTCTTTATTTATCTTTTAGGAATGCTATCACTTATGTAGGGTAACTCCAATGCATATA